AAACTTTGTTTCACTACACATATTTGTTTGCATCAACAAAGTTTTTGCTTTCCGCGCCCGATGGGAAACACGTACACAAATCGCCTCCGCGTGGATCGAAAGTCAAGGTATTTTTTTTTTAGGATTCACCCTTTTTAGGGAAGGCAAATGCTCATACAGCCTAGTCTGAAGTTATATTAATCTTCTTTTTGTTTACATTAGAATGTCGGTGTGACGCATTCTAATGTTTCTTTGAATGTTTGGCACGAAATGTATCGGGTTGGCTGTTTCGATAAGCTTCTGTGAGGTAGCCAACACCAAAGTTAAACAATAAAGTTCTCACGTCCACTTGACCGGAATAGCGTATATTTTAAAGAATCCACTTATTTTTCACTTGCGCAGACGGTTGTTACACAAAATCACAACAATTTTATTTCACAATATCCATTATGAACTAACTTAAGAATAATTAAAATAAGACGCCAACCGCACTCGATGAAATCCCGCCAAAGACTCCCCGGTATTATCTCATCGGCCATTTTTTGACAACTCGCTAGCTATGTTCCAAACCTACGCTCCGAGCGTAACTTTTAACTGTGACGTTTCAATTTTACCATAAAATGTACGAAACTTAAATTTGACATTTGTTGCACCAGGATCGTAGGTTTGGAACGTAGCCCTGTGTATTTTGTGTCATCAGCCACGTGAGTAGTAAACGGCGCGTGTAAAGAAACATGTTTGAGAAACAATGTTTTGAGTATTTGTTATCGACGAATGTTTTCAAAAAACTTTGCTGGAGACCCACCCGCCTTTATTTAAATTAATTTGATGCAATTTTAAATGTTTATCAATGTAAATTATACATTCATAGCTGCAACAAAAGGTCTAATATATGATTCTTTATCAGTACAAAACCTGGAGGACTACTCTAATTCAACGAAAAACGAAATTTCGATCGAAACTTCACACTTATCTTACTATGTTTCTGGTTCGTTTTTGATTATAATAATATTCTTCGTCGGAATATAGATCTAGGTGTAGATTATCTAAGCCTGCTCAAAGAAAGCTTCAATTTGATAGTTTATCGTTCAAATTAAGTATACCCTTAAATTGACGAAATTAAAGTTCGTTTGAATTTCGTTATCGTAAGTTCGTTTCGGAGAAAGAGAGTAGACCTCCTGGCCTAACCGTAAACAGATACTTAAACATATTACCCCGTTCAAAGCATGACTATGAATTAGGAATTGCTTGCACAAGCTTGCAGTACACTTTTTAGATTCACTTAGCTATGTAAAACATAACAAAATCCAACAACCATATAATACTGTACAACACACGAAAATCGGCTTTATTATATACAAGCATAAAGTCGATTTTACTTTTGTGTTACGAAGCACCAAATCTCGAAACCCGATGATTTTTAATCTACCTACATTGCAATTCCGTTAGGAACTATAGTGTATGTGAAAAATTAATTTATGTGTCTCTTGAAGCATTATCGTGTTTTGTATTAGTTATATAACATAATAATATGTATCTAATTTTAAAACTCTATCTATTTTAACGTGCGCCTTATGATTTGAAGACAAAAATAAATATTGTTTTGGGTAGATGTCAAAAAAACACTTAAAAAAAAACTCAAATATTACACACACCTAAATTGTATCACAAGATTGTTTAAAGCAAAAAACAGCTTCACCACAATATTATTTTATTAAAATCAAAAAAATTACGTCTATTTTATAGTGAAAAAAAATCTTCAGATCATAAAGCGTACATTTGACTTAATTATTAGTTAATCCTTAATGAATTATTGACTCAAGGCATTTTTTATGAAGCTTTGTATGTTTTTGGTAACTATATAATACTAGCTAATGTTCGTTAATCGTTTATTTTAAACTAGATGCTTATTAATTATATTAATTTACCGCTGGATTTGATTTTTCGTATAAAACTTTAACGATATAAGGAATAAATTAATACCGGACATAATATTGAATATACAGACTTTTTGATGTCTATTCTGGCATGATACTCTAAACTTAAAATTTAAATTTAACATCAGTCTCTCACTTTCATTCTGTATAGAGAAAGATAAGGAAGGATACGCTGTTGTCAAGTTTAGAGAATCATGCCAGTATTGACATAAATAGCACATCTTACTGTCAAATTCCTCACTCGATTTTGAACGCTATTGCTTCCACAGTAACATTCGGATTTCATGAGGGAAAATCAACTTTATCTGATCTCACTTCATAAAGGTGTGTACAACCATTACGGTAATCGGAAATAGAGGCGGTATCCACACAGATTTCAGAGTATTATGGAAAAGTTATTATTTTACATTTTGCTTCGGTCGAGAATCGATCCCGGACTGGGCTGTAAAAAGCGGAGTTAGATACAGCATGCTAGCCACTGGGTTTTAAGGAGTACTTTTTTAAAGTTTTTATTTAAAAGTTACCTGTGTTATGAATATTTTCAAAATAAGCAGATTTATGAAATACCTACATGGCGATTTACTAAGAATTAATAAATGGTTTGTATTATGATAATTATTCTTTTAAAGATAATCGTTTGTATTCGATCTTTTAAGGCAGTATAAAAGTTTAAGGAATAAGTAATTTTCAAATGTAATAAACATTAAAGTTGATTTTTAATACGACAGCGATATTATCGGCCTTTGTAGGGTTCCGTAGTACTGCCAAGGAACCCTTATAGTTTCGTCACGTCCGTCTGCCTGTCTGTCCATCCAAGGTTTTGTTTGGAGACTGTTAGCACTGAAGAGCTGTAATTTTGTAGAGGTATGTATTTCAATAACGCCGACAATGGCAAAATAAAATTAAAAAAAAAAAAAATTTTTGGTAGCTCCCCTACATGTAAAGTATGTTTTTTTATTTATCGTGTACCCCATCGTGTGGGATATCGTTGAATAGGTCCTTTATAAAGGGGTTGCTAAGATTATTTTTCGATTTAGGGATCCGTTTGCAAATTACAAACTGTTGTTGTAGTGAAGTTGGCGTCCCAGAGCCCTCTAAAAGCTTGAACTATTGGCATGAAAAACCTGGGAAAATTAATGAAAATAGTTCTTTTCATGATTTTTTCAGAAAAATTATAAGGTTAAGATAGATCAGTAACTTAAAGATTAATAGTCGTTCAGCGTATGTATTAAAAAAACTTTTCTAATAAAAAATCCTTCAAGGAAAACATTAAAAGTTACTTTATAAAAGACCACAATAAAATATCAATAGTTCCACACAGTTGCCGTTAGATGGTGCTGTACTTATTTTTATATACAGCGTATAGGTGCACTTGAAAGGTACATAGACTTCTGATATTGTAGTTTTGTGGTAACGACGGGTAACTTCGGGACCCTACACGACGCGTGGCATAACACGCACTTGGCCGGTTTTTCACATAATCTGCGTTGAAAATATCTCTGTCGTTTAAGAAAAAACTTGTCATTTCATATCTGTCTGTACATACATAAAATAATATATAAGTAATACACAACCATATTTCATAATAAAACAATGACATAATTATTTAAAAGTTCCAACAATTCAAAACCATAAAAAGATATTGTAGGTGTCTAGTGATAAGTAAGACTCGAGATTTACAAGTTAATTAATTAATGAAATGTTTGAATAATTATTATTTACAAGAACATCTTTTTATATTTAATAAAAATTACAAATATAAAAAATAAAAACACATTATTTAATACTCGAGTTTGAAACATTCGGTGTTTCCCAAACAATAAAATTTTAAGTACCCTTACAAGAAAACAATTAACAAATATTTTACCTGTTTTTGGTTTGAGCTTTAAACTTAATTTAGCATGCAACATTTGAAATAAAAAAACCACATCGAAAATTACCCAATCGGGCATAAAATTGCTGACTTAATTTTTGTAAAATAATATCAATACTACATATTTCTAAAAAGTAAGTTTTTAAAATATTAGAATGGTAACATTTTATTAAAATCAATCTCATCATTTAGAAATATTAACCCGAAATTAAAGAACATCTAACAATTTTTTTTTAATAAATTTAAAATACCGATCTGAATCGAAAGATAATTTTTAGTTATTATTCCATCCCCAGTAAATGGTTAGCTTACTATAGTAAGATACTGATCTCGATTCTGGCGTGATTCTCTAAACCTAAACTAAAATTTGACAACAGTGTATCCTTGTCATTCTCTATACAGAATGAAAAGGTGAGACTGATGTTAAATTTAGTTTAAAATTTAGAGAATCACACCAGAATCGACACCACTAACGTTCTATAATATTTTAAAAGTCGTAATTATGTTTTTAATTCATTTTATTTGAACTGACTGCATATATGTATGTTCTTGTTAAGAAACGACGGCTTTGACAATTATACACGATATTAAATACCCTAGATACACCAACACGAACAAAATCATGCCTGAAACCTGTCCACAAGGTACATTGGACGATTCACGGAGCTCCGTAAGATGATCGCGTAGTCTAAACAATATAAGGCATTATTTAAAAATTGAAAATCACCTATAAAGCATACTGTATAAGGTCTTAATTAAAACGCACGCGTCATACAGTTATGACAGTCCGATATGTAAGCTCGTAAAATTTTACGACTTATTGCTATATGCAGAAGAATAAAGACCTTATTTCTTTGAGTGTACGCGCAATTCTGAATGCGCTATAGTAATATAGCAGGTACGGTCCGCGAGGAAAAGAGACGGCTATATTATCGACCATGCATTTGAATATCACAAATATTTTCTATTAAATCAGTTTATAGTAAGTATTAAAACGAAATTTACTTTAAATGCGTTAAATTAACAAACATTGATTAGATACCTGTCGAAAAAATGATATTTTATATACTTTATGCATTTCTTTCGCCTGTTTTCACGGAGCTCAGCGGCATGTTGACTTTTCAACGGTCCGCGCGTGACTGTGAATCAAGAAGTGCTTGAGTCGTGTTCAAGCACTTCTTGATTGGGATACATTTTGAGCGCACGTGGTGTATCTAGGGTATTTAATATCGTTGGTTATAAAACACAAAAAAAAAATCCAACTCTATCTATCTAGGTAAATATACTATAGTAAGCTCATATTATCGAAGATAACTTATTGTGTTTAACAGTCAAGTTCTTATTATAGACCAAGATGCATAATTTAAATAAATTACAATATTTATTGCGAGAAACACAACTAAACAAATTGTTAATTGCCAATTAAACTTATTCTTACGTAGATACGAGGAGGAAGGAGTTTAATAAGTGTTCACGGGATAATGGTTCTAATACGTACGAAATAGGGGCTAGTTTCGGTGGCTGGGAGCCCGCACGCCGTGACTATGGAATGCGAACTGATTGAAGAACTTTGCTCGCCTGCAATGAAAAATATATTGTGAATAGATGAAAATTTAGACAATTTATAGTAATAAAAATAATTCTTTTATTGTAGGGCATAGGTACAATAATGGGGTGTTACGTCAATGCATTCAGTTCAGCTATGTCCTGCCATAACGTATAATTACACAAAAGTCTGGTGTGGTCTTTATATATATATATAAAGACCATAGAGCTGGTGCGGCTTGTGAAGAAGCTGAAAAAGCCAAAGCATGCAAATACATGGGTCTAGGCTCCGAATATGGTTTTGTTCCATTCGGTGTCAAGACCCTTGGTCCGTGGGGTCCTAGCGCTATAAGACTTTTTAAGGAAATATCAAAAAGGTTAGTCCAGGAGACCGAAGAGCTGGCAGCTACCTCGGACAAACAATAAGTCTAGCTATTCAAAGGGGGAACGCTGCCAGTATCTTCGAAACCTTGCCTTAAGGGACTCCTTTAATAACATATTTTAGTTATTGTATTTTTTTTAGGTTTTTAGTTTTAGGTAATTTGTTTTACTTTGTGAAATTTTAGTGTCAGTTCAATATTGTTTAAGTTATTTTCACAGTATACTTATAAGTCACTAGCGGCCCGCCCTCGCTTCGCTTCGGTGTAGAGCTGAAGTGTAGACTACAGTTTTTGTTCTCAGGCTAGTATTATACACAATGACATTCATCTATGATTCTTCTTATACTTGCATGCAAAGTCTCAAGCCGATCGGTTTAAAATTGACAAAGTTTCATACAAACTTTCATTCCCTATTTTATCCCCTTGGGGGTAGAATTGATCAAAATCCTTTCTTAGCGGATGCCTACGTCATAACATCTACCTGCATGCCAAATTTCAGCCCGATCCGTCCAGTGGTTTGGGCTGTGCGTTGATAGATCACTATGTCAGTCAGTCAGTCACCTTTCAGTTTTATATATATAGATAGTCAAGTGCTTAAGCACAGGATGCGTTTCGGCGGCGCAAAGTTTTGACTCTATCGTACATAGCACTATACCTGGAACTCTTGCTCGTCTCGCATCACTCCGGTAACACATAATAGTTGGTACTGGCGCGCCCTTAAAGCGCAACCGCCGCGACGTAAAAGTCGTAACGCAGCGATGCGCCCTGAGGTACTCCCGCAGAGAACTTGACGGACCTGACGTCAGAAGGGGACCAAATGAATTAAATAAAAAAAAATGGGTGCGTGTACTTATGTAGGCGCGTGAGAAGTTATCCTTCTTTGGCATCGTTTAAAATTAGTTTTTAATTGCATGCAAATAATTAATTACAATAAATTAATAAAAAGTCTGGAAAAGGACACAGTCAATAAAGTTCAGTTTTAATTTGAAAAAATAAATAAATAATCAAAATATTCAATTAAAATCGCTACTGAATATAATTTATTAGAACATATGTGATTTGCACTTGTATGAAACTCAAACACGTATTCCGAATATACAAACTAGAAACATGTGGATAAATATTATAAATATGAATACCTATAACTTTTACTTTATTACAAAAAATAAAGATGTGGTTTTTGGTTCTACTACACCAATGGTCAAGAGATGGCGCTGTAGTCTCCTGAATCGCGCTTTGGTTCCGTTGTTCCAGATTAATAAATACTTTTGATATTATAAATATGAATACCTATAACTGTTACTTTATTACAAAAAATAAAGATGTGGTTTTTGGTTCTACTACACCAATGGTCAAGAGATGGCGCTGTAGTCTCCTGAATCGCGCTTTGGTTCCGTTGTTCCAGATTAATAAATACTTTTGGTAGGCCTTCACAATGCAGTCGTTAGCACCCACTAAATAGAGATTCTATTTCTATTTTGTTGATAGATTTTCTTAATGTGCGGTAAACACAAAAGTAACAGCATGAAGTTGGTTGCTAAAGCGACCAACTTCATGCTGTTAATTTTTTGTGTTACAGTGATGCGCGCGCATCTTAAAATTTCACTCTCATCATTTTTTCATAACGCGCCTAAAGAAGTATAACTTCAAAAAGGTGTAGGGGTTTATCACTTAAAAAATATATCGATCATGTATTCGACATAAAATATCGGAAAGCAATATGGATGTTTTTCGATATATGGTTTGAAAATATCGATTTTTTTACAATATCGAATATTTTTCACAAGTTTAATTTACTATGAGTATTACTTAAATAGAATTATAGATCCAACTAAGACGATGGAGACTTAATCTTTTCCTTTCATTCTGTTTCTTTATTGGTTGACTATTTGATCAGCCTTTAAAAATAACCTTTTAGATCTTGCCCAATTTCTAATTAGTTTTATTTGCATCAATTTATAGAAAAACAACATTGTTGAGGTTTCTTAATTACACAAATAGTGAGTTAAGGTGGAGAAATTTTTCGACAAAAGTATTTGCAAATATTTTTTTTCAGAAATATAATCTTAATCGTTTTCTGAAATCGCTAGTATAGTTTCTCAGGTAACTCAAAATTCACGGTTCATAATATAAATAGGACACCACTGTTACACCAATAAAACGGAATTAGTGAGAGATAGAGAACGGAGGCCTTTTATCCCTTTCTAATAGAATGACCTTAATTTTTATTTATGGGAATTCAAATATTAAAACTAATAAGGAGAAGTCATGCAGAAGAAGGGCTAGATAAAAGATACCATCATGAATCTAAAGCACGTGAAAGGCATATTGTTTGTTGAATTTTGAATTTTTGGGAAATGATACTGGCATTATGATCTATAAATTCAATATATTCCGCTTCTGCTATGTACATGACACATTTTATTGACACTTGGTTTGCCAATCTCCTTTACTTTAGTTTTATTGTCATTATGAGTCAGCGTTAGTTTTTTCGATTCGATATTTTTATAAATATATCGATATATCGAATGGTAAATATCGAATAAATTCGATATATCGATATTAAATGAATATCCCTAGTTCGGTGCCGCACTTCGCGACGGCAACACGCATTGAAAGTTCCGGCTACTTCAAACAAAACACACATGAGATTGCAATAGTGAGATGATTCCGCCGATAAAAAGACAATCTAAGGAAATAATATTTAAAGTGCATATGTTTTTTAAAAAACGAAAAACCGATGTCAATACTTTAGAATATGATGCAATACTATAAAATTGATGCGAATTTAAATAAATTAGTAGCAGAAGCAACAGGGATATCAGAAAGAAGTGTAAGGAGAGTGATTGCTAGAAGTAAAACTTCCTTGCAAAATACAGGGGAAGCAAAATTTTTCTCTCCGCGGCGACCAAAAGAAATATATTTTATCGCCTTGGGGGTAGAATTGATCAAAATCCTTTCTTAGCGGATGCCTACCTCATAACATCTACCTGCATGCCAAATTTTAGCCCGATCCGTCCAGTGGTTTGGGCTGTGCGTTGATAGATCACTATGTCAGTCAGTCAGTCACCTTTGCGTTTTATATATATATATAGATTTGGTTACTCACTTGCGCCGGAGAATGCGACGGGTCCAATACTAAAAGTGTAGCTTTACCATCTTTGTGTTTTTCATAACCTATTATTGTACGAGAATGACCTGAAATAAAAAATATATATATTTAAACTCTCAGATTACAAAAGACAAAATCAACATCATCATCAGCCTATTAATGTCTCCACTGAAGGGGCACAGGCCTTTCCTATGGATGGAATAGGGAGTTTGGATCATGACCCACCATGCGGGCCCAGTGCGAAATGGTGGGGTAAAAGGTAAATTAATATGTAAGAAATTGGAAGTCAAAATATATAACAATAAATTCCTAATTCTGACATGATTCTCCAAATCTAAAACTAATTTGAAAATATTCTATCCTTATCATGCAATAACGGTGCTCTATAAGCCGTGGGGTGGTCCTGTTAATTAATCAGCTGACACCTAAATCATACGTCACATCAAATCACATCGCCAGCCTATTAATGTCCCCACTGCTGGGGCACAGGCCTTCAGGCCTGGGAAACGACGTAAGTCGAGACATCGCCACAGACGCCGGCCCTACGGACATTGACCTGCGATTAGTGAATTCTATGCCGGAAATCGAAACAATTGACGTATGCTTGAGGAATATTGTTTGACGTAACTTGAAACGACGTAAATCGAAACGACGTAAGTCGAGGACTGCCTGTATAACCTCGCTGTTGAAGATATAACGGTGCTCTATAAGCCGTGGGGTCATCCTGTAAATTATTCAGTTGGCACCTAAATCATACGGCACATCACATCACATGAGCAGCGTATTAATGTCCCCACTGCTGGGGCACAGGCCTTTCCTATGGATGGAATAGGGAGATTGGGCCGTGACCCACCACCTGGGCCCAGTGCGGATTGGTGGGTGCTAACGACTGCAGATACAGCCGGGATCAACGGCTTAACGCGCACGCCCACAGGCTTTCCTTATGGATGGAATAGGGTACTGTAACGTCCTTGACGTTGCAGCCTCCTTGTTTAGGTAAACTCTTTGCTTTTGCAATGCCTACGGTTGGCAGTTATATTAAAAAGTTAATGTCATGATTTTAAGATTTGAAATAAGGAATCGTCTGTCTTTTGATAGAAGGTTCCATTGATTATGAGATCTTCAGGCACCAAGAAATCCTCTCGTATTTAGATAAAATACTTTATATTAGCCTGAATGATAATACAAAATAAATAACTTATCTCTACCAGTATCTTTCAATTAATATCTACGTCCCCAGGTTCTATCCCTTCTGGGTAGAACTCTATATGGTGGACGCGCCGCGTTGATTCTAATACCGCGAGTGAAGTATATTTTTAAATCAAGAAAGAAATAGTTTTAAAAAAGATGGAGACCAGGACCACATTCGACGGAAAAGGTGATGTAACCGATTTCTTTCGTCAATTTAATATAATCGCCGCCATCAATAATTTCAACGAGGATACAAAAAGAGTTGTGTTGTCGGCATATTTAAGTGGACCTGCATTGTTGTTCTATAAAAAAATGAACGAGTCTTGTGAGAATTTTCAGCATCGATAAATGCGTTGGAAAAAATTTTCTCACGAAGACAAGGCTTGTCAGAAGAGCCATTGACCTTTTTTTATGTATTGGATGAGCTGGCCACAAAAGCGGGAGCTGTCATCGATGACAAATGCTTCATTAGACAGTTCTTGAAAAATGCGAATTTAAATACGAAAAATCTTTTCGCATTTCAGTTATATAGTGATTAAACACATTTGAGAAATGTTTTACGACAAGCGCAGGACATTTTTGAGGACGAAAGCGTCGAAATTGGTTGGAATCTGCCGATCCATCGTTTGCTCACTTCGAGGCGACGAAAATTTCGCATATAATAAGGCATGAAGAAGAACAGGAGAAGGAAATCAACCTTATTTCCTTCCAAAGTGTCCCTTCTCATCCCATTGTCCCTCCCGAACATTTGATTCCCCGCACTTTTTGTTCCAGTAACTTGAACAAAAAAAAGAAAAAACCAAAGAAGCATCAAAAGAATTTTTTTTACGAAGAAAATTTAATGACGATGGCTGATGAAGAAGTTCACCAGTCACAGTCGTCAGAAAACAGCAATCAGCATACAAGTGAGTCATCATCATCATCATCAACAGCCTATCATAGTCCACTGCTGGACATAGGCCTCTCCAAATGCACGCCACTCAGATCGATCTTGGGCTACTCGCATCCAGCTCCTGCCAGCCACCTTGCGCAAATCGTCACTCCATCGTGCCTGAGGACGTCCTACACTACGTTTGCCTAGACGCGGTCTCCACTCCAGAATTCGTCTACTCCAACGGTTATCGGTTCTTCGGCAAATATGGCCAGCCCACTGCCACTTCAACTTGCTAATCCGGTGGGCTATGTCGATAACTCTGGTTCTCTGTCGGATTACCTCATTTCTGATGCGATCTTTCAGAGAAACGCCGAGCATAGCCCTTTCCATAGCGCGTTGAGCGACTTTGAACCTGTGGATCAGCCGTGCCGTCAGTGTCCACGTCTCGGCTCCGTATGTCATCACAGGTAGGACGCACTGATTGAAGACTTTCGTCTTTAGGCACTGTGGGATCGACGATGTCAGGACTTGACGTAGCTTCCCAAACGCTGCCCAACCTAGCTGAACTCTTCTATTCACCTCGTCCTCAAAGTTGTTTCTACCTAACTGCAATGTCTGCCCGAGGTATACATATTTTTGAACAACTTCGAGAACGGCACCGTGTATTGCAATCGGTTCCGGTAGAACATATTCATTGAACATGACCTTGGTTTTATCCAAGTTCATCCGTAGGCCGATGCGTATAGAAGAGTCAGCCAGGTCATTCAGCATCTGTTGTAGGTCCTGCAGGGTTTCTGCCATGATGACGATGTCGTCTGCAAATCGCAAGTGAGAGATGCGTTCGCCATTTATGTTGATGCCATGTCGTTTCCAGTTCAGCGTCTTGAACATATCCTCCATTGCATTAGTGAACAATTTCGGGGAAATAACGTCCCCTTGTCTCACTCCACGATGCAACGGTATGGGACTTGTTTGCTGATTCTGTACTTGGACAGACATGGTGGCGGCTTCGTAGAGACATCTTATCACTTGGATGTATCGCCAGTCGACTTGGCAACGCTGCAGGGACTCCAGGACAGACCAGATTTCAATCGAGTCAAAGGCCTTCTCATAGTCCACAAATGCTAGGCACAGGGGCTGATTGTACTCCTCAGTCTTCTGTATAATCTGCCGCACTGTGTGGATGTGGTCTATGGTGCCGTATCCGCTCCGAAACCCAGCCTGTTCCGGTGGTTGAAAGTCATCAAATCTTCGCGCAAGACGGTTCGCGATCACTCTTGAGAACAGCTTATAGACGTGGCTTAGAAGGGATATGGGTCGATAGTTCTTAAGTAGGGTCTTGTCCCCCTTTTTAAAGAACAAGACGACCACACTCCTGCTCCACGCCTCCGGAGTTCTCCCTTCGAACAGGACAGTGTTAAAAAGCTTTTGGAGCTCCCTCAGTACGGGTTTACCTCCAGCCTTCAAGAGTTCTGTTGTAATACCATCCTCTCCAGGGGCTTTTCCATTTTTAAGCTGTCCAAGAGCAATCTCGATTTCGCCAATACTGACTTCTGGCAGGTCTTCGGTGAAGTGGCGTGTTAATGTGGCTCTAGAATCCTCATTTCCGGGATCAGGTCGAGATGCATGTGATGCGTATAACTGGCTGTAGAAGTCTTCCACTTCTGAAAGGACTGCCGGCTTTGAAGCAACAACTTCCCCACTTGCTGTGGTCAACTTCGTCAGATGGCTTCTTCCAAGAGATTGTACGAACACTTTGGACCCTCGATTCTGCTCGATCGCTCTCTCGATCGAGAGAGTATTGGAGCATCGGAGGTCGTGTCGTACGTGCTTACTGATCTCTTGGTTTAGAGTCCGCTTTGCCGACGAAGTGACGGGTGGGTTTTCACGTCGTTTCTTCATTAGCCCTAAAGTCTCTTCCGAAAGCTTTGACTTCCTGCCCTTACGCTGCGTTGCACATAGTTTCGTACCCTCTTCCCTGAGAATCCGAACCACATTTTCGAGGTTTTGGTTTACGTCTGATGTGGTTTCCACGGCAGCAAATCGGTTCTCCAGATTTGACTGGAACGTTTCAGATCCTGTTATAGATTGGAGCAAAGTAGGTTGGAGCCTGGATTTCATTAAACGGACGCGCTCGGCCTTAAAGTTGATATTCAGAGAGCCCCGGACGAGTCGGTGATCACTACCGGTATTGAACCTGTTGATCACGGAGACGTCTCTGAATATGTACCTCTTGTCCGTCATGATGAAATCGATCTCATTTTTAGTCATAGTGTCGGGGCTCTGCCATGTCCACTTCCTTTGGGGCTGTTTCTTGAAAAAAGAGTTCATCAAGAAGAGCCCCTGTTGTTCGAGGAAGTTGACGAGCATTTGCCCCCTATGATTTCTGCTTCCAAATCCATGGGATCCTACTACCGATTCGCTGCAATTCTGTACTCCCACTTTAGCGTTGAAGTCCCCCATAACAACGTTGTAGTGGGTCTTAGTAGTGGAGTGGAGGGCCCTCGATATATCATCGAACATATCCTCCACTTCGTCGTCCGAGTGTGTCGAGGTCGGTGCGTACACTTGCACCACCTTGAGGCTATACCTCTCGGTGAGCTTTATAATAAGGTACACTACCCTGTTCGACACGCTGGACATTTCCACAACGTTATCGGCAAGGGACTTATTTACCAAAAACCCAACGCCACCTTGGGACTGTTGGTCTCCCCCGCGGAAGTACATTAGGTGGCCCGATTCGAGGGTTATGGTGTCCTCCCCCTCTCTTCGGACTTCACTTAACCCTAAAAAATGTGCCACCTAATCTTTCCAAGTTCCACCTCGAGTTGCGCCAGATGCGAGTCAAGCCGTAGCGTGCGTCCGTTGTACGTCGCCAGGGTCAGTCTTTTGTGGTGGCCTCCCGTAGCCCGGAGATTCTTGGCACCCCCCGCCCCACCGTTACCGTGGTCGCCACCGTGACCAGGAATAGCGGGGCTGCCGGGAACTGGGGGCCGTGGCTTGAGTTTCTTGTGCATGAAGGTTTTGCCCATAATCGCCACGCTGGGCAGGCGGGTTGGCGATCGCAGAGCGTAGGTTTATTTACTGATGACGCTGCTGCCCGTCACCAGTGACATTTTCCTCCCCTACGTCATTGGATGGTTATACCGCCATCGGTCGGTTTGCCAGAGCCTCGTCTGTTGGTCAACAGGGTGCACCACGTGAAGGTGAGGTTGGCTTGGGTTCTTGCAGGTGTATTTAGAACCCCTTACACCCCTTAATACAAGTGAGTCCAAACCTTTAATTAATATAACGTGTCGTGATAAGGAGTTTGTAGGGCTCATTGATAGTGGTGCTGTAGTGTCTGTGGTGTCGAAGGACACAGTTAATAGAATTCATCAACGAATTGATGAAAGCGATACGAAGTTGAAAGCCGTCGATGGTAAAGAATTGTCTGTTATAGGGAAAGTTAACCTTAAATTATTGATAGACAATGCGTTATTCATTCACGATTTTCTTGTGATAGAAAATATTAGGCATAATCTCATCTTAGGACAGGATTTCTTAATTCGAAATAATGCGATAGTAGACTTTTATAATGAACAATTAATAATCAAACATATTAAGTGCAAGTTTAAAAGACAATATACACAAAAGAATAATGAAAGGAATAGTGATAATTCGGTGTATGATGAAAATTTATATTATGCCGAATAGGTTGATAGTACAATAATAATAATGTGTTACTAATGCGATTTTATTTCAGTTTATTGTTTATATGAATATTTTAAAGCAATGGTGGTATGTAAATAAGGTTCAATACAACAGTCATTTTAGAATTTTATTTGAAAAGCATATTAAATATAACTTTGTCATTTTATTAGAAATTTTTTTCTATACACATATTATAAGGAACTTTTACACATTTTGTTTATGACAGATTAATAGTTAGTTTCATTAAAGTATTTTCATTTCTTTTAATTATTAGCTTTAGTGTAATTTGTTGAGTAAGTGGATAATTGATATGGTAATAACCATAAGAATGATAGGTAACAGGTTCGATTCTCTGTTCAACTTGGAATTATTCAATTGACTTTGAATATGATCATTGATAGGATTAATTCAGCATTAGGATAGAACATATATAGTTAATAATGTATAATAGGATAATATAGGTCCATAAAGGAAATTCCCTTATTATAAAAAAGGAAACGGGTTCGATTCCCTGTAAGGTAAAAAAATAAATAAATGAATAATAATGTTAAATTTTGAAAATTTATCCAACTATGAAAAGATGGTATAAAGACTTATCATAAACTTAATGTTTTCATGAATATTAACTTACCCGACTGAAGAAAAATGGTGTTAAGAATTTTACTAATATTTTCTTGATTGTTTTATGTACTACCACATGATGCGGACTTCCCGAGAGAGAGCAGGCTGGCGCTCATGCAGACGTCAGCGATACTGACGATGATCCACCCTGAAGATGATGGAGACACCCTCTACGAATTCGCGTCGTTTTCGTTTCAATTTGGTCGCGTCGCGTTCATCAAAATCGTCACTTGTAGTAGTTTGACTTGGGGGTAGGGAACCCTTAGTATTCCATGGGAATTGGGTTTAATCTTGTTTGATGCTAGATGTCCTTACCCAAAATTTCTATTACGTTTGCGCATCATGGGTGTCTAATAAAGTACAAGACAATAAAGTGGTGGACCACGTCTGTATCTTTATTAAAGATGTACGAAAGTAAACATTAATTATAAATTCTTTTAGGTTTTGCTCAAATCCAGTTAATGTTTACGAATCTTAGGAAATAGTTTGAATTTCGTTTCGTACATCTACTTAGTATGGGAAGTAATGAAGTTTCAAAATATAAATTTTCTTGATATTTAATGGTTTAATAAATGGGATAGGGTAAAGTTTTGCTGATAGATGGGATGAAAAAAAAATTGCTTGGGTAATTTAAGTTATAGCTAGGGTTAGCTTTGTTTTTTTGTTTTTGCCGACTGATGTCGATGTAAAGTAAAGTAAAGTTAAGGTTAGGAGGGAGATGTACGAGGGATTTTGTTAAGGTTTTGCTCCCGTAAAGTCTTTGCAATAAAACTTTGCAAACAGTTAGGGTTCTTTTCCCGTAAAGTTTTTTTTTGCAAGTTTTGCAAACTTATTGTGAGGGCTAGTCTGTAGTAAAGGCCACCTCCCAGTTGTATTTATGTCCTTAAGCAGGTAGGGATTTTAGATAGGACCGTCGAACCCTCTCGATGTAGTAGGTAGGAAAAAAAAATTTTGTTCGGTCATCTGGTATGACAAAACAATTTTTTTTTTTTTTTTAGAGGTGCCGGAGGGATGTAACGTCCTTGACGTTGCAGCCTCCTTGTTTAGGTAAACTCTTTGCTTTTGCAATGTCTACGGTTGGCAGTTATATTAAAAAGTTAATGTCATGATTTTAAGATTTGAAATAAGGAATCGTCTGTCTTTTGATAGAAGGTTCCATTGATTATGAGATCTTCAGGCACCAAGAAATCCTCTCGTATTTAGATAAAATACTTTATATTAGCCTGAATGATAATACAAAATAAATAACTTATCTCTACCAGTATCTTTCAATTAATATCTACGTCCCCAGGTTCTATCCCTTCTGGGTAGAACTCTATAGTACCATACGTTTTTTATAATATTTGAAGATTATAGATACCTTGGTGTTGCAGATATAAAGGTGCTTTAAAAGCCGTCGGGTCATCTTGAAAATATCGTAGCACCCAGTCGAACAACGCCGGGTGACCGCCGTCTGAACTCGTGGGTTTGTGGAAATCTATCAGCTGACACCTGAACAAAGCGAATTAACACAGTTTTAATAGCACTAGTGGAACGATAGAAAAGACCTTTCTGCTCTATGAAAAAAAAAATATACCGTATAATCTTAGTGGTCCTTCGAGCTGGATTCCTTCGATCACGACTTTTACGATTTCATCCATACTTATTTTAAAAATTTAGAAGGTTCTTATGGAAAGAAAATAGCACATTTGCGTATATTTCTTTTTAATCTTTGTTATAGCTTATACGATTTCAAGAATATATAACTAGAAAAAATTCCACGCGGACCAGGCAGATGGGACTCGAACCCGCACCGTTCGCTATCCGGGCGAATTCACTGACCATTATGCTGCCGCGGCCCTGATGGCCGTGTCGAATTCTTTCTAGCCTTTCTTAAGTTGCAAAGCAGCGCCATCCGCATTGTAGGTAACCCAAAACGTCAAATGAATACCTTTATAAGTATTAAGCGAAGATTGCGGGTTCGAATCCCGTGTGCTGCCTAGTCCACGTGGATTTTTTTCTAGTAATATTTTCTTTAGATTTAAACATCGAGCTGATAAATGTCTAAAAAATAAAAAAAACGAGCGAGCCTTACAGTAGTCGCGTTTGATGTGTAACATTTCAAACCTCACCTTATATGAGTAAAAAAAGAAATAAAACCTACTACAAAAGGAATAAGCCGTTTGAACATTATGTTCTAGAATCAAATCAAATGGCGCGCGCTTTCCAAACTACCTGTTACACACTTCCGTCCCATTTCACGAAATCACTCCCACAAATTGCAGGAAAGCGAGAGGAAAGATGTTACACATCAAAACTATAATGATAAATACTATGGCCCATATTATAGAAAGATTCTCAGTAATTAATCTAGTCTTGAGGATAGATAGAAAGAGATGTCGCTATATATAGCACATAGCGACATTCCATTCTAACTGTACTCAAGTAAAGATCAACACTTAGTCACGGTAATATTATCTATACAGCCCTGTCCTTGAAAATAAATGCCTACGGCCAAGCGCTGCGTTAGCACGCGGTAGGGCCGCCCGCCTACAGTATTTTATGTAGTTTTGTTTGTAACGCGAGTGTAGGTAGATTACTCGTTTGTCTCTTTTTTTATCCTAACCACTTATTCACATATTATTCCAGATATTTTGCCCGATGGAAAAACCGAAACACCTAAATATTAGAAACAAATTACGTACTAGTAGATAGGTATATAAAAAATATTCTATAAAGGTAAGACACCTTTACAATATTTCAGGTAATTTAAAAAATGATATCTCTGGGTGTGTTATTGAAGAGTTCAAGCAACCAAAAACAGCAATTGTGCTGTTGTATGATATTGATCGTCGTTTGTTCTTTTCCATACTAAATTATGAAGGTATCTACTTAATTAAATCAAATATTTACAATACAAAAAGCACGTTTAAGCACGGCTAACTGCATAAACAACAATTCGGACCGTTCGGTCGTCGTTGCGGCGCGGCGGCGCATTCGCGACTGGGTGCCCGCCGAGAGCACATCGAACTCGAGTGGCGTAGGTATGACTCGCTTTCCGACCGTTTGTATGAAGATAGAATACTGTATGATATTATTACCGTGACTTAGTTGTCATTCTGTAATACGAGCCTTAGTTCTAGGAACTAAAGGAACACATCACCTTATTCTGAATGAAGACAGTACGGTGACCACCTCGCAAGCTCCTATCCATTTGCGGGTGTTATGTAATTTTGAACCTAACTGCTCCGAGCCCTAGAAGAAAACATTATTTTTATTATATTAGACGACTTCCGTGGCCGAGTGGTTTGAATGCCGGGTTTTAAAGTGTCGCTTACTCGAGAGGTCCCCGGTTCGAATCCCGGTGGGGCAGACGTTTGTGTGATGAAGAGCATTTGTACTCCAGTCGTGGATGTTTAATATGTTTTTCTATCTTAATACTAGCTGGTCCAGCGAACTTCGTACCGCCATGCCATAAAAAATTGGGGTTGGTGGTAGAAGGGTGAAAATTTAGGGTTGTATGTATTTTCTATGATGTATCATAAAAAAAAACTAAAAATTTTGCCAAAAAAAATTAATTTAAGGTTTAAAACCTTTAACTTAACATTTAGTGGAGTGAAAAATAGATGTTGCCCGATTCTCAGACCTACTGAATATGCATATAAAATTTCACGAATTTTATATATTAGACATACATAACATAACATATATTATAGTCTGTCCATTCTATTTATTATCTTTTTGACAGATGAACGTTCTCAAACACATTCTGAAACCGCACGGCACAGCTAGTATATACATATACCTGTGTATCAATCCCCATGGCCCAAGCTCTTTCCACTAACAACTGTAGCCGCGGTATGGAAGGCACGCCCCCGCATGTAGAAGTCACGCTGCTCAATAACGCCGCGTATGGAGGGTGCCGTAGTAAAGACGATAGGACCATCTGCATGTTCCTACCGAATACATTATTATATTAGTTATTGTTCGGTGCTACGCAAACGAACAGCGCAGCAAATTGCATTTCAGCAATTTGTATTTTGACATAAAATATTAATGCGACGCATGCTCAATACCAAACATAACGATCTTAAATACCCTAGTACACAACGAGCGCTCAAAATGTATCCCAATCAAGAAGTGCTTGATCTCCACTCAAGCAGTTCTTGGTTCACAGTCACGCTCAGACCGTTACAAAGTCAAGATGCCACAGAGCTCCGCGAAAAAATGCGAAAATAATACATAGAGTACGAAAAGTGTCGTTTTTTCGACAGGTATCTTGTCAATGTTTGTTAATTTAACGCATTTGAAGCAAATTTTGATCTAATACTTACTATAAACTGATTTAATATAAAATATTTCTGATATTCAAATGCATGGTCGGTTATACGTCGCCATATAGCCGCCTCTTTTCCTCGCGGTCCGTGCCTGCTATATTGCTAACAGCGCGTTTAGAATTGCGCGTAGAGTCAAAGAATTAAGGTCTAAATTCTTCCGCATATAAGAATAGCAATAAGTCGTAAAATTTTACGAACTTGCATTTCGAACTGTCAGAAGTCCTTGACGCATGCGTTTTATTTAAGACCTTATACAGTATGTATTAAAGGTTACTACAGGTTAGGTTATTTAAATAATGCCTTATATTTATTTTGACTACGAGATCATCTTGCTTTCTGGAGGAGCTGGGATGGCAGGACTGATGCCAATCCCCACGCAAAATAGGCACTAGGTGTCGAGTTGCGGAAACAGCCCGCCGTACTACTAAGTACTACTACTACGAGATCATCTTACGGAGCTCTGTGGATCGTTCAATGTACCTTTTGGACAGGTTTAGGGCACGATTTTGTTCGTATTGGTGTATATTAGGGTATTTAATATCGTTGACCAATCATAACCATTTTCGAATTTATATTATAGTTTACTATTTTTTATTATTTTACATTTGTGAGTTTAATTATTATACAGTTTTACACGGACTTTGGAGTTATTCTTTTCTTACCATATAAACCAGGGGACTGGACGCTAACCATCGAGCGGAAAGTCAAAACCTTTTCAGTTATAGTTATTTTTTTAAGCATGTAACTGCTCGATGTTTAAATCTAAAGAAATATTACTAGTAAACAATTCCACGCGGACCAGGCAGCAGACGGGACTCGAACCCACACCCTTCGCTATCCGGGCGAATGCACTGACCATTATGCTACCACGGCCCTGATGGATGGGTCGAATTCTTTGAAGCCTTTCTTAAGCAAGGCAGCGCCATCTCTACGCATTGTAGGTAACCCAATAACACAATGTCAAATGAATACTTTCAGGGGGCCAATCGCCTAACGGAAATGCTTTGGGAAACGCTAACGCTTACGATTTTATATTGTTATTTCTAGCCGCCTGAGGTATTCAAATGCCTCGCGCTCTTTCTTTTTCTTTTGTATTGGTAATAACAATATTAAAAAAAATGAGTGTGAGGTATTCGAAAACCTCAGGCGGCTAGAAATAACAATATAAAATTGTAAGCGTTAGCGTTTCCCAAAGCATTTCCGTTAGGCGATTGGCCCCCAGTTCAGTGACAGGGCATTCGCCCAGATTCGAGTCGCGGTTCGAGTCACGTCTGCTGCCTGGTCCGCGTGGAATTTAAAAATAGGCAGCTTATCTGTATTTTACTATTCTTGAAGCAACCAAATATATTGAAGTTTCATTTACTGTTGCTGATAGAATTTATGGGTCAACATTCTTTATGGCACCTGGATTCCATGGTTCACATGTTATTATTGGAACTTTATTTTTATTTATTTGTCTAATTTGTCACCTAGAAAATCCAATGGTGTACAATAAAGTGATCATTCATTCTTTGCTTTTCTTTTTGAGTGTGTATGCTATTGGTCGCAGATGACCGTTACAGCGTCACCGGGTTTGGGGACGGCGAGATCCTAAGGGGACTCAAGCCGAGAATTGGCGAGTGCCTCTAGAGGTATTCCAGGCGGATGGCATCTCCCCACGGGGGGAGTCTCCTCTCCGTCTGGAGCCGCTAGACCAATAGAACCTGGGGAAGGTTGGCTCAACCAGAGGGCGTCTCTGAGACTCGGATCTAGTGAGCCGTTGTCGTGGGAGGACTATGATTGAGAATTGTTACCATGTACCTTCGATTCACGAACGCAATAAAAGATAAAGACAGAGGGTAGACCGATATGTCTGCCAATAACATCTACCCACAATTACTTCAGTTGCTCCGTGATCATGGCGCTTGCAACATTGCCGAAATATCGGAGACTCATAAAAAACAAGTATATGGTAACAATATAAAGAAAAGTTTACTAGAAAAAAATCCACGCGGACCAGGCAGCGGACGGGACTCGAACCCGCATCCTTCGCTATCCGGGCGAATGCACTGACCATTATGCTACCACGGCCCTATTAGCCGCGTCGAAATTTTCCTAGCCTTAAGCTGCAAGGCAGCGCCATCTCTTTGCATTGTAGTAAACTTTTCTTTAGATTTAAACATCTAGCAGTTAAATGCTTAAAAAATAAATAAAATCATACATGGTAACAATCCCGTAAATATCATAAATTATTACAAGACGTGATTTTTTTGCCGTTTTTTGCTCGTTATTATAGGGTCGTCATCATGTCATCTTATCTCAGGGTGTCCTACACTACGTTTACCGAGTCGTGGTCTCCACTCAAGAACTGGAGTGGGCTGGATGAGAGTAGCACAAAATCGGAAGCAGTGGCGTGCATTAGGGGAGACCTATGTCCAGCAGTGGACGAACATGGGTTGATGATGATGATGATAGGGTCGTCGTCGGCGTCGGGGTCATTCTTTGCTTAAAGTTTTGTTAGTCTATATATTTACCTGTAACCGCATCCCCATCCCCTGTCGCCGTAGGTGCTGGCGTAGTGATCCACCCCGCCGCACAAAAATGTCTTCACTATACTAGGATTCTGGGCGTTTAGTTGAGCTATCCTCTCCAATATTCCTACGAAATAACAACAAATACGGATGACGAGGCACAGGGTGAAAAAAACGAAATTCTTTTTAGCCCGTCAGTTAGATTAATGGAAAAATAATGAACAATTACAACAACAAACTACCCAAAAAAAATTTGTGTGCATGGACCAGAAATCTGAAGTGAAACTTGTTTTCTTAAATAACCTAACCTAACCTAACATTTGGCGGTGAATAAGGCATAGGGGAAGGGAGCAGCGCATCAATCATATATATGTATATTGTCGCGTGTGACGCCCGTAGCGTTTCAGCCTTCGCCGAATTACCCTTCAACATACATGCCCGTCGGGAATAGCTGCGCACGCATCCCACACACACACACACACACACACACACATATATATATATATATACAGGGTGTAAAAAAAACTATGACGAAGACTAAAACTACGCATGCTGTACACCCAAATAAGTTATATTACAAAATACGTGGGAATCTTTTGTATATTTAAGTTAAAAGAATTATTTTTTTTTCCTGTACGCAATGTATAGCGTGGCGCGCTACTGTTGCGCAGCGCAAAGAATGTGCCTGTGTGAAGTGCGTCGATAAAAAGGAAATGATGAAAAAAAAATTGTGACTTTGACCTTCAATATCTCCATAACCATAAATTTCCCAGGTATGGTCCAGAAGAAAATAATGATCGTCATGATGGGGAAATACGGGGCCTTCAACTTCGTTAAAGGTTTTTTTACACCCTGTATATATATATAGTCGTGTGACGCTCGAGACGCATATCCGTTTCATCGTTTCCATAGGATTTTACCATTTGAAGTCCGAAAAGAAGTTTCACTTCAAAAATGAAAATGACAAAGCGTTAAAGTTTGAGAGTAGGGGCCAGGGCTGTACTGGATAATTTCTACTAATTTTAGAATTGTAGAAATTTGTATGTTTGTTTTGTACTCAAACACACACAAAACATTTATAAGATTTGTGATACTGTTAAGATACACTGTATGTAATTATTTTGTCATTTTCACAATTCGGTTTTGCAAACCAAATAAAAAAAAACACGCAAAAACTACTGAACGGGTTTGGATGAATTTTGGTACGCATATAGTTTATGGTCTGGATAGAGACATCGGATGCTTTTTATCCCGAAAAATGTTAGGTTCCTAAGGGATTCTTTAAAAACTGAAATTAACGCGTAATCGTGGGCGGCCGCTAGGATAATTATGAATTCTAAAAACTGTAATTACGAAGTCACCGGTGGACGCTGGGATAATTATAATTAACATTGCGGAGCTCGATGGCGCAAGTGGTTAGCGCGTTCGGCTGCGATCGTCAAAGTAAAGCAAGTTTCGCAGTGGTCGGTCATAGGAAGGGTGACCAAAAATTTACTATCTCGAGCTCCTCCGTGTCTCCGAAGGTACGTTAGGCGGTTGGTCCCGGCTGCGTCTGCAGTCGTTAGCACCCACCAATTAGCCTTGGGCCTGCGTGGTGGGTCATGGCCCAATTTCCCTATTCCATCCATAGGGAAGGCCTGTGCCCCAGCAGCGAGGACATTAATAATTAACATGGATGATTTATCATTAATAATAATGTGTTACTATGATAGAAAGCACACAAACAGAACCAGACATAAATACAGTTTCAAACTCAAATGATAAGAACAATATCCCATTGAAATTTTAACTAGAAAAAATCCACGTGCACCAGCCAGCAGATGGGACTCGACCCCGCGCCCTCCGCTATCCGGGCGGATGCACTGACCATTATGCTACCGCGGCCCTAATGGTCGTGTCGAAATTTTCTTTAGTATTTCTTAGGCTGCAAGGCAGTCCAAAATTAACATCTAGCAGAAAATGCTTAAAAAATTAAAATATCACGATATCCCATTGTCTTTTTGGCCAAAATTTAGATGAAAATAAATTATAAAAGAAAGAAGAAATGATTAAGAAAAAAAAACATTGATTGTCAATACCAATTTTAATTTTATGAAACTTAAATTAAAATAATACCCATGTACAGAAAAATACATTCATTCATATGCATAAACTATACATCCGTTGCTGAAAAAATTATCAGATAACTATATTATGAAATAAAGAGCTGGAGGAGGCCTATGCCGAGAGCCTAAAAAGATACCGAACTTTGAGATTTAAAAAAAAAAAAAAATATATAATTATTATAATAAATTATATTATACCAGCAAACCTGTGAACCAAATGTTCACCAAAAAAAAAAAAAGTATTTAATTAATTGAGAACTTCGGAGATTTTGTGTGGTTTCGTTTGAAATAGAAATCACGTGATTTCTCAAAAACCGGAACTGCTACGTTACTCACATCCGGTTTGTAGTCTTATCAGACTATTCTTAACTTATAACTTAAACATTCTCTATATCTATCTCTTATGGTTTGGCTGCTGAAACAGCACCACGGACGGACGGACGGACTTGTCTAATAGATAAGAGATTATATTATTTTAATAAACAAATAAATATTAAGATATTAAGTCGTTTTACAGCTAATTCATTCCGTCTACTATGGCTTATAGCAATGATCGTGTTTTACAGATCAAGCCATTTTTATAACCGGACGGCTAAATTGTAGGCCTTCAGTACGGGAGCCGAAAATCTCACCATCAGTCCTGGAGGATCCAGTGTCCCGTCCCAACGCAGTAGCCTTCTTCAGTCCCACGCTACGTTCATAGTATCCGGCCACAGATAATGCTCCACTGTATACGGCCCGCTTCAGACTGTTTGTGGCTCGGTTAGTGTAGCCTTCTTCGTCCTCTTCCATTCCATATTGTGCCTGAATTATTATCACTTTAGATTATTATGGTGCCAGTGGTTAGCGCGATCGTTAAAGTTAAGCAACATTGGTAGTGGTCGGTCATTGGATGGGTTACCAAAAATTTACTATCTCGAGCTCCTCCGTGCTTAGGAAGACACGTTATACCACGTGTATCTGCAGTCTTTAGTATCCACCAATCCACACTGGGCTTGGGTGGTGGGTCCCAATCTCCCTATTCCATCCATAGGAGAGGCCTGTGCCCCAACAGAGGGGACATTAATAGGCTGATGATAATGATGAATATTATAAAAGATAATAATATAGTGACAATATAATGATAATAATGATTAATAATAATAAAAGATATAATTAAGCCTTTTGTTTTTAACCTAAATTATTAATTGAATTTTTAATGCAACTATTGATTTAAATTCATTTTAACCAACATGTGCGAGTAATGATCTAGGTTGATGAAATTGTTCTATGTTTATTTTATTGACTACTAAAATATTAACATACCTAAGAAGATCATTCTATGCATACATGCATAGACTTGATTGTTTCAACAATGAGATATTGTATTATTTCTTGATGAGCCATCTCAAGTATTTCACTAAGATTTTTATAAATAAAAAAAATCATTGTGATACCCTCAACAGTTGGAACTCGTGTTCTTCTCTACTCCTCTGTGCTTCTCTCTCTGCCTCTGTTAGCGCTGTCGCTCCACCTTCTTCCCCTCTCTCAAAGTGCTCTTCTATGTGTTGGATCTAGAAAGAATATTCCAGAATAATGTTAATAAATAATTTATGTTAGTATGTATGGTCATGTCTTAATTGTAAAATTTCCTGGGAAGTTTCAAGGAAATTATAAGTGTTGAAGGTTTTAATACAAAAACATCATCCTTATTAGAATACTTTAGCTGATACTCTGGTATCTGTATTCTATAATGGTTGCTGACCATTAGAAGAGTAAAAATGTGCTTCTTTGACATCCCTTTTTCATACATATATATTTTTTTTTAAGTTAGAATATGATTTTTTATTACCAGTTCATGTTGGGACAGGGGTAAAGGTTGACAGCACACCGGGCAGTTGCTGACTGGACTCTCTTCCATCATCACCACATCCTCACACGAAGCATTGTCCATTTGATCCTAAAAGGGAACCAAAGTCTACAGTGAGTGAAAATAAACCGAGTCAAGTATTCATAGCATAGTTTATAATCATAATAAAAATCATTATCAAAATAATTTATTCAGTTTAGGCTATTACAAGCACTTATGAATGTCTAGAAGCTACACCATCGGTTTGAAAATCTACAGCAGGAGACCTTATACATTGACTCATTGATTATTTTCCATATAATAATTCCTAGATATATTTTGTCAGCTCCAACAATATCCAAGACTAATGTAACACCCTTGCTAGCTATTAAAGATGCAAGTTGAGCATTGTTAAGCATAAAATGGGATCTTTATAAGCAAATGCCAATTTGTTCTGCAAGCCCAAAAATGTCCATTGGTTGTTTTCTTCTTTCACAATAATACTTTAACATAGGTGCACAGCACTCATTTTTGCTAGGTTCATAAACGCCCACTGGTGTCTTTCTGCTTAACACATCTCAGTTAATATTTATGAAATACTTGTTTAAACTAAAATAACAATTCTAAAAATATTAAAATCGTACTCCAGGTTATGATGATAATGATCACAAAATGCTGAGCAAGATAGTATGTACTTATAATCAATTTAAGTTTCTCAGCGAAGCTTAGACGCTAGACGCTGGAGGCTTCCAGAGATAGTAATACAGAAAAAGGTAATTGCTATTTTGAGAATCTACTTACTGATTTTTGTGGACTCAAGATATCACGGTGCTCAACATTTACATGGACTTCCACTTCTGAACCATTGGAGAATTCTCTTTCGCAAATAGGGCATTGGAATGTCGAGCCATGGGGTCCTGGCGATAGGGCCATAGCGCTCAACGCTAGCGTAGGATTATCTAGCGTTAATGTGGGATTGTTCCCTGTTAATGTTGGGTTTTCTGAGTTGGCGTTAGCATTTCCCATCACAGAAGGCGAAGTGAGATCGAAATGCGCCCGGTTTATATGTTCTTCCAATTTCCTCGGACATGTCGACTTAAAATCACACAGGAGGCACTGTGAAATTAATTATTTAATAAAATTAAACTGGGATTTCAAAATTATGAAATAAATGTGATTTAAAAGCTCTGGCGGGTAATTTGTTTGTTTACGAATTTGACAGTGACATTGACATAACCATGCACTTCTTGTTTTAGACAATGTACGAAAAACTATACAGCCATATTTTTTTAGAAAAAAGTAAATAATATTCACCTGAACTGTAGGACTAGGTGTGGGTACTGATTTCTTAGGTGTATTAGGCTTAAGTTTTAATGCTAACTGAGATCTAAGTGGAGAGCCCTGCCCTGCGCTGGCCATTGCTAACTGCAAAATATGTTAATTTTATAATATACAACATTCAAAACAATGAAAACGAGTCTCCCGAAAAGTATTTATAATCTTACTTTACTCTTATTAGGTGAGCCTTCGTAACTACTGCTATTATGACTTGGACTAGAATGAGCACCTGCAACATAAATCCATAATACAAAAGGCCATAAATATTTAAAAGTATTTGTTTATTGTCAGTGCCGTAAAACATTATTAATATAAAGCCACAAACCTTTTCTTTCATAACCATTAATAACATCACCTTCATTAGAATTTTGTCTACTTTGTATTTTCTTTGGTATTACACCATTGCTAACGTTAATATATTTTAACCCATTTGATAAATTAATATTTTTAGGCGACCGTAAATATCTATCGTCCTCTTTTTCGCTACTATAATTATCTTTGTCCTTTCTATAGCCCTCTTTTTCTTGAAATCCATTTTGATAGTTGATATTTTTGGATATGGCCCCGTTGTGGTACGATGAAGAGGTGTCTGGACTGTGCCAACCATTGATTGAACCTGGAGTATTATAACTGCAACTATCTGTAGTAGTCATCTTAGAATCGTCGTCGAAACTGAAAAAAGATTAAACTCTTAGCCAGTTGCGATATGTAAAGCATAGGTGCCTATTCTGGCGTGATTCTCTAAACTTAAAACTAAATTTAACATCAGTCTCTTTTCATTCTGTATAGAGAATGACAAGGATACTGCTGTCAAATTTAAGTTTAGGTTTAGAGAATCATGCTAGAATCGACACCATAGTCTACTATTGCTGCTAGCTACTTTAGATCTGCCAAAGAAAGAGAAACATAGAATAAATTTTAAAACTGAAAGTTCTGAACAAATATCTTACACTATTGAGGATCTATGTGATTTAAAATGGCATAATGAAAAGGTTTACAATGATGAAAGTCATTCTCCAATGATCCAAGTGGACGAAATGAATGAATTAATCTACATTGATATATTTAACATTAATTATTATATCACAAACTTTTATTGTACTTATTTTTCCAAATAAACAACGTTACATGTTCAAATTGAAACTCTCGAATATATTTATTACCTGTGAATTTGATCTAGTAAATTAAAATAGCATTTTTAATGCCATAAATGTAGTGTGTTTTAATTATAAGTATTATCATTATTTTATTTTATTTATAGAACAAAATTTATTATTTGACGTTTTTATTTTTATTATTATTTTTTTATTCTTTTATTTAAAATCACTCGCATTTTGTAGATCGTACAAAATGCGAGTATGTATAGTCGCATTTTGTTTGGCGTTTCGGGCATCACTAGGCGCTGTTGGCTGAAAATCAGCGCTGCTGTGGTATTGCGAAAGTACTACCACAGTAGCATAGATGAGACAGCGACCTGTTGGCCCTGCACAGCAGCACCTGAATTTAGTTTTCTTGTTTTTATTTGTGGTTAGGTATTTTTTTTCTATTCTGTTTTGTTTTTAATGTACCTATGCTGTGTAACCAATAAATGATTTTCTTTCTTTCTTTCTTTAATGCTTGCAGACCTTATTATTTACTTACCTCGGACTCTGATCATCAATGAATGCCATCAGCTCTCTCTCGGGCGTGAGATAATGTAGATGCACCCTCTGCACGTGGTTGACCAGCTGCGGCTGTGGTACGGCACAATCGCAGAAGGGGCAGTCTGGTCTGCCGGCCACGTGCGCCTCCAGGGTGTGAGATCTCATGCCGTCATCGGTCAGACCCTCCGCACCACATAACTCGCAAGTGTACGGGAAAGGACTCGAGGACATGACGAAACTGTTGAAATTTATACCGTTTGGTTAGTGACTGCTTTTTAGTGACGACCTCCGTGGTGTAATTGGTATGTACGCCAGGTTTCAAAGTGTTGCCTACTCGGAGGTCCTGGGCTCGAATTCCAGTGGGACAAATGTTTGTATGATGAAAACGACCAACATTAGTATTTTTTTTTAATACATTTAAACTGTACAGTAAATTACCCTCCTGATTTTAAGTGTAAGTGGAGTCCAGTCGCGAAGACTTGATGCGGCAGAAAGTGTGCCGCTCAAGTCATACTCACCTTGCAGGTATGAACCCAACCTCCTACCCCGCGAAGCTCTGGAAGCCTACTCATTTCTAGATAAATATATCTAACAGCCGCCCGTGGCTTTGTCCGCGTTAACTTTAGTTTGTTGAGAATCCCACAGGAACTTATTTTTTATTGCATCCAAATTCGTTCAGTAGTCTTTGCCTGAATGCGTAACACGTAACATACACACCTTCACATTTTTAATATTAGTAGTATTCCATAACACAAACTTTGGAATGCTTACTTTGGGGCTAGGCTAATTGATGTGAATGTTGGAAATATTTATTTTTATTTCTTTGTAATTTCTAACTTGGTAATCTAAAACTATTCTTGTAACTTGTAATTATTATTGTAACTGTATATATCTATATCCTAAATGATGTAATGGAAGGTGACTTCAGAAATATCTCTTAAGTCATTTTTCAACGTGACGACTCTGTATATATCAATACAGGGAGAAAAAAGCAGCCCTTGCTGAGTTTCTTGCCGGTTCTTCTCAGTACAAGGTCTCCCGCCGTAGTTTTGCGAACCGATGGCGTAGCTTCTGACCTTCACAAGTGCTTGTAACAGCCTAGACTGAATAAATGACTTTTCATTTCATTCGTAAAAAAAAATTTTTTTTTGGTTACAAATTGTTTAAGAAGTAATTTTCACAAAATCTTAATCTTATTTATTTATTTATATGAATAATCTTTCAAACTTCAGATTAGGTATACAATTCTCTGAAGTGACAAGTTGTGATTGTGATTTATCTTGTTTTAAACTTTCATGGTCACTAACATTATAGCTATTAACGGGATTGTTACCATGTACCTTGTTTACACTTGATAATTTAAACCCATCCTCAAGATTGAAATTTTTGTGTTTGGTTATTTCAGTGGCGCTTGCAACAGTGCCGAAATATCGGAGACTCATAAAAAACAAGGAACATGGTAACAATCCCGTTAATAGCTATAGTGATTTATCTTGACGAGCAGCATACGGACACACTACACGGTGAATAAAATAGGCCTCAAATGTGAACCTTGTGGCATGCCGTAAATTATTGACAGGTGTTGTTTAAAGAAAGTAGTAAAACACGTTAACTTAAGCTAATTAAAGGCACAGCCTTTACTACATTTTCTAGATTATATCTGTTTTACACACTACAAACCAGTGGTTTAATGGTCTAAGGTTTTACATCAATTTCTTTATAAGTTGTTTGTAGTAATAAAAAGCTAATGGATTTTATATTGCCCAGTGGTTTGTCCAGTAAGTATAATTTTGTAAGTAAGTAAGTAGGCCATTAAAACTTTTAATCATATCAGAAGTTCTTCAGGTATATTACATGTCCAGTGAAAACAACCATCGATCACACGTCATTCATTTTTAGTCGTCGGTTAATAAGCCAAGTTTATTAAAGTAAAATGCATGCTATGCTTCTAGTTATTATTCAATAATGCAATTTCCTTTGTGTATATTTATTTAGTTTATTTGTTAGCGCTCAACACTTCCAATGTGTACCTGAGTGCCTACACTTACCTGAAGTCTAAATGACAATGAATTTAAAATGATTGTAATTTTACGACATCCGTATAAGTTCACAAAATTGCACTAAATCTATCGTATCGTTAAGTGGGGCTCGTAAACTTTAGAAATGCGTAAAAAGGAGAGGTACGACGAAGTAATCAATTTTCTTGTACCAAAGCAAAGGCCGAATAATCCACTTGGGGAAATGCCAAGTCAGGAACTGGTTATAAGAAATATTTATTGCAATTGTTCATGGAATCTCAAATTATATTAAAAAGATTGCATGGCCTTTTGCTAAAATCTGAATTATTCTTTTTGAAATCTTTTGTCTTTTTTATAATATTAGATATCGACCCCATTTACATGGTCCCGTACCCAAAAAATGACAATACACTCAGTCGTTATATTTTTAATTATTTAAGCATTTAGCTGCTAATTGTTTAAATCTTCATTTGCTAAAATCGCCGGCCCTTGGAGAATCGCTTAAATTAAGTAGGTAGGTATAGGTGTCAATTCTGGATCGAATCATTCTCTAAACCTAAATTTAAAGGCAATCTCTCCCTTTCATTCTGTGTAGAAAATGACAAGGATTCACTGTTGTCAAATTTCAGTTTAGGTTTAGAGAATCATGCAATATAATCGACACCATAGTAGGTGCTTTTCTCATGCTGCATACTGAGATGTAAATAGTTTTTATTTTATGAATTTACGGTTTTCGTCATTTTTACTATAAGACGTTACTTCGTACCAAATTTTAAGATTCTAAGTTCACGGGAAGTACCCTGTATATAGGTTTTGATTCCCGTGCGAGTTTCGAAAATTTGCGGCATAAGCGGCTGTATCTTTTGATTGCTTTGGCTTAGAAGATTGATTTTTTCACAGCTCCAAGGGACAGTAGACCTGAGTATTAGATATGAATTCCAGTTTGACACCTCCACGCGTTCCTGAGAAAAACGGTCTTGACAGATGGACGGACGACGGGCAATAAAGTGATCCTATAAAGGTTCCGTTTTCTCCTTTTGAGGTACGGATCCCTAAAAATTATAACAATTTTTTTTATTGCGCTTTTTGTTTCCTGTTAGCTTGGAATGTCCGACACCACCTAGGTGGGTACATCTTTAATTATTTTAAAGCGATAAAGAGAACCGGCATCGTCATTCTGTAGACTGAAATTCAATTTGAATTTTGAAGTAATAGGAAATTTATGTGATTTTTTGCATGAATTAAGTGACTGTAGCGTACTTATTTATTGACTAAAAGAAATTTGCAAGTGCCTCAGAAAAACAATTAGAAAAAGTAAAAGTTTTAATATTATTTACATTATTTTTTACAAATAACTGCATAAACTACGAAAAATATAATAAAAGCTTTGCTTTAATAAGGATCAATTGATAATTTGTTTCAGGTCGGGCAATGTGAAAAAACTTCTAAGAGGAAGTTATGTGGGTTCATCCAATCATAAAAAATATTTACAAAATTTGTATACGAGTGAATGTGTCAGTCAAATCGATAAAATTACCGCAGTTTTGTTTTCAAGGGAATTCGCCATGGCTACCACTGACACAAGGAACATAATTCAGTTAACAACACAATATTTAAGTGATTACTAAAAGGCCTCATAAAATTAATAACCTAATCTTGCGTAATAAACTACAAAAAGAGAAAAAAAATAAGACTCACGTTTTTTATTGTCAAAAATTAGCGGGAAATCCTGTAAAGTTTTAATATAATCACAACACTACCTAATTGGTTCTTCACTGTTAATATTTAACGGTATGACTAACATTTTATAACATTAATTAACGAGTTACATTAATACTACAGACGACAGGTTATGGGAGGTCGCCATTCATGAATTTCAGGCATTGAAGATTTGAGGAAAACTTGTACGCATGCGGAAGTTGTATTACTACAGCGCCTCTAGCGGCCAAGAAATAGATACCTAGTATATTTCTATTTTAGTAAATGATTTTTTTGAATACGTTATCTTCATTGATATTAAATTTGTTTCAATAGCTTCATGATATATAAACCGCTAGTTCCCATGATTTAAAATCTATCAAACTACTTTATAATAAATTTTGCTTGTAGTACATATTCTAGTCACGCCATCTGTTACATCAACTCAGAACTATTATAGATGAAAAGCGCAGATGCGGAATGTGATCAACCGCTTATGCTTAGTAACTTAGCATGTAGTAACATTTGCTTCTAACAGATAGAATTATCAAGAAAACTAAAGTCGTTTATAACTTTAAATGACTGGGTTGACAAATTTTTAAGTAGGTGACTGTTTACTATGGGAAGTTAATGACCTTGGTGATGGTCGCATTGATACCGCACAACTTTAGATTAAAAAACAATTTGCCAAAGCACACAACTTTAAATATTTGATTCTAGATGTTTTCTTCGTTGGTATGTACCAGGGCAACCTATACTAGTAGTAGTTGGATTATGTGTTCTTGACAAGATAATAGCGATCGACATCTATTATGATGTTTTTGGTGGGAGACGCGGAAGAATCCCTAAACGGGGATCCCGCAGTTTCGCACTAAGTAGCTTAGAAGGTATTCGAAAAGTTTTCTAACGGATATTATGCCGCGTTACAAAAAAAAGGCGGGAGAGCAGGTGTCTTATAAGCTCCCGGCAAGGCCGGGAGGCTGCTATGTGCGGAGACGCGGAAGAATCCCTAAACGGGGATCCCGCGGCTTCGCGCTAAGCAGCTTAGAGGGTGTTCGCAGGGTTTTTTTATTATGCCGTAAAGCGCCCGTAAGGGTTACGGGGTCCTCAGTGGGCAGCCACTGATGGGGCTCGTAAGGCTTGCGGGAGCCAGGTGTGAGGTCCATTCGGCGGTGTGCCTCATAAAGGCGCCGTCGTCTGTAAATAGTATTTTTTGCCTGCGTATAAAAAAAAAGGTGTCTTATAAGCTGGAATGGAAAGCCCTTATGGAAACCCTAGTCCGGTTATGTTAGTCCATAAGCCCTTATTTATGTCACTGTCTTTTTCACCAAAGAAAGGTGACAACATCATTTTTACAAGGTTTACTTTAGTTTATTTTTTGTAACCAACGATTTATTTAATATCGTTGTTTGTAACCAACGATGTATCATTCAGTCCATAACAGGACAGCTACTGACAGCCAGTATTCATGTTGCGATTGACCCCTAAGGAGACGATCTTAGATTACAGAACATCTGTTATCTGAGAGGACCAAATAGACGATTTTGATTCCAAGACCGTGACGTTTTAGTTCAATTTAGCCAAAGATGTAAATCTTTGTATTAAGCAGCACAAAAAACTAAAGTTTATGGGCAGAATGGGTATTATTTTACCTAGGTATTATAACTACTGTATCGATATGGGAATCATTACTATTTCAAAAACATATTTATTACCTCGATCGGTAGACAGCTTTTTATTTCCCGGAAAGTGCCGTGGAATAAGGACTGGGAGCTTGGCAGTCGGCAGTCTCCATATGATGCCCGCGACATACCGCATATAGAGTGGTTCTTTATGTAAATTAAATATACTATGTCGCTCCAAATACATATAACATATAAAGTAGGTATCTGTAATATAGGTACTTAAACATAAATACATTATTGTGAAATATAAAATAGATATAGAAAGAGTTCCGGGAATATATTTTAGAGATTAACGGATGAATCTCGATTTATGTTAGAAAAAGCAAATAGCCTCACTGAATATTTAATGATATTTGGGTACGTACTCCTATGCCAATGTAAAAAAACATGTTGCGAAAAAGTATTAAATAATTTTGTTTTTATTTAACAAACAAAATGTCTTTCGATTTTTAAAATTAATTGTACAAAACACTAACTTATCTACAGACACGAAAAAAATATCACAATGTTTCTTTAAAGGGCCATTGTATTAAATTAAAAATATCCGTTGTTAATTTTGAAGCTTGATCTGCTTTTATAACAACTTCAGGGGAAAACCCATTGTTTTTGACTACAAAATTAGTACAAACAATGTAGAAACACTATAAAAAAATTAAAAGTAAATAAAAAAAAAATGCACTGCCCGGGAATCGAACCCGGGTCGCAAGAATGGGAATCTTGCATGATACCACTACACCAGCAGTGCTTATCAGTGTGCTGTGAAAAACAGCTACATAATCGACTTCTAACTCACGTCTGCAATGTTTACCAAGTATTGTCATAGTTTTACTACCGAAGTTAAAAGACTTACTAGATCACTCATGTAGCTTTGCTGGTTTTACATTATTGTTACTGATTTTACAATGGAATGGATTGTACAATTATTTCCGCAATCACATTTGGTCGTTAGTACGTATTCAGGTGCACGAAAAACATTACTACGGGCAACCCAAACAATATTTACACTGGAAGACGGAGTCGGGTAAACAAAAGGAAATATATCCGAATACGCGTACTCGACTCCGTTCATTTACACTTAGTCGTTTACACGAATTCCATTGGCACTCGTATCGGACTAAAGACCAATGTAATCGCTCCGTACTGGTATTGAGAATACTATATTCTCAATTGTGTAAATGATTGTGTTTTGTTTTTATATAACTTTAAATAAATTTTATTTACGTATCTTTATATATATAATTCTTCTGTGAGTGTGTATGTCACTGAACTTCTCTTAAACGACTGGACCGATTTTGATGAAATTTTTTGTGTGTGTTCAAGGGGATCTGAGAATGGTTTAGATCAGTGGTTCTCAAACTTTTTAAATGACGGAACCCTTTTGGGAAGCAAAATACTTGATGGAACCCTACAATAAAACAATTATTTTTATAAGTGTATTCTATATTAATCAGCATAATAAAAGTACAATGTATCCGTTACTAATTATTATTTACTTCACCACTTGGTAAGGACAATAATAGAAAACATTAAAAAAGAAAAAATCTAACTAGTGGGAGGTATGAAACTGTTTTTTATTTTTCATCAATTGCTTGATATCAGGTTTGATGGAAGAAAGTTGGAGTCTCATATCAGCTTCGGCGTCCAGTCTATTGCGATATTTTGTTTTCGTGGCTGCGTAGGTAGAGAATCCTGTTTCGCACAAATATGTAGTTGGGAACGGGAGAAGAATATCCAGAGCCATTTGGCCAAGCATTGCATATTCATCTTGGATTCTGCACCAAAAATCATTAAGAGGCGTCGTTTTGAACAATGACTCCATACTTGTGTCTGATGACATTTCTAAAAGAGATTCATATATCTCATTTGACATGTTTTCAGGCTTTTCCAAGTTGGGTAAAAAAGGATTATGAATCCAGGAGTTCACTTTAATTTTTGTATTGTGTTCTTCGGGAAAATACTTTTCAAAAGATGCGCGCATCGAACTGAGATATTGGACCAATTCTTCAAACACATTATCTTCAAACATTTCTGAGTCGTTTTCGCTAACAAACTCAGTGAGTAACGTAAAACTTTCTATTTCTTTCTTACCAATGCAAATGATCCAAAAATCTAATTTTCTTTTAAAAGTAGTTATTTTATTATAGGCCTGAAACACTGTTGTCTGTTTACCTTGCAATGATAAATTTAATTCGTTAAGTTTTTGAAAGATATCCGCCATAAAAGACAATCGGAACAACCAAGTTTTATCATACAAACGGTCCTTCAAATTAAAAGAAGTATCTGCTGAAAGAAACATTTGTAACTCGGCTCTAAGTTCAAATAGCCTTGTTAAAGTTTTTCCCCGAGACAGCCATCGCACTTCTGTATGGAGCAGCAGTGTTTTATGTTTGCTGCCATAATCTTCACACAATAATGAGAACAATCGGGATTGTAGTGGTCGTGATTTGATAAAATTAATTATTTTTACCGCTTCATCCATAACTAATTTTAGATTAGACGGCATTTGCTTCATCGCAAGTGCTTGTCTATGCAGAATACAATGACTGGAACTACAATTAGGCGCTTTATTTTTCATTCGTGACACTGCTCCTGCTGTTTTACCTGTCATCGCCTTGGCCCCATCTGTACAAATGTCAATGCAATTGTTCCAACTGAGATTATGTTCTTCAAAAAATATATTTATTTTATTAAAAATTTCTTCCCCGGTAGTGTTTGTAAGCAGCGATGAACACATAAGCATGTCTTCTTCAAAAGAACTTTTATATGGATATCTCACAATAACCAGCAGGATAGCCAAACCAGCGACATCAGTCGACTCGTCCATTTGCAAAGCGAATCGTGTATTTTGTAGACGTGTAACTAGTTCTTGTTTGACGTAGCTTGCCAGATCATGGATTCGTCGTGAAACAGTATCGTTTGATAGCGGAACAGTAGAAAGATGCTTTGCAGATTTTTCATCAAGCATACATTTTGTTATGTCTAATACACATGGTTTTATTAATTTCTCAGCGATAGTGTGCGCTTCACCTGCTTGTGCAATGCGATAGCTAACTAAGTATGATGCCTCCGTGGCCTTTTCGTTGGTAGTTTGTGTTACATGCATCATATTTTTTTGACTTTCTAATAACTGATCTTTTTTGCGAACAAAAAATTCTTTATTCTTGTCTTTAGTCTCGGGGTGTACGGTTTCTAAATGTCGACGCAATTTGGCAGGTGCCATGGAACTATTAGGAAGCAGTTTACTACAGAGCATGCAGAGAGGTGAGCCGTTGGAATCAACAAATCCGAAACTGATATAAGATTCATCATACTTCCTTTTTTTCGTCTTTGAAACCGTCGAGCTTGACGTCGTGGCACTCGTGGCATCATCTTCTGGATCGGTGATTGCTAAATTCTCCGCGCGCATTGCTTTTGAACATTCAGCGTCATTAGAAGATGTTGTTGGAA